GTGTGTGTGTGTGTGTGTGTGTGTGTTAGCATTTCCATGAAACATAGATAAGAGTTAAAGCTTTATAGCTTTCTTTTAGATTACGCCCAATTCAAGATGGCCACCACAGACTCTTCTATTTAATTCAGCACAGAGAAAGGGTCTGGGAACTCTCCTATTCATATAACCCCACCCCCTGACAATTCTAACAGAGCCAATCAGCGCTGAGTAGCGTACGTCACACACCATAACACAGAGTTTCTCAAACATGGCGACTGAAGTGCAGTTCGCTGCGGCTCTTTCCTCTGTTCTAAATGACTTGGACATGTCTTTAAAACAACAAGTAGAAGCGCCAAAAGCCTTTCTTCTAAAAGAATAACATGTTTGCGTCATTGAGACGCCCTTTTTTTACTACAGCTAAAAAACTACAGCGTTGTGCGGTACAGTCGGCATTTCCATCTTTTTTCTGATTAGTTATTTTTGAGCTGCCTAGTCCCGCTTTTCAAGTGCCTCTCTGCCTGTGAGTTCCCAGACTCTCTGTGCAGAATTAAACAGAGGAGGACGAGTCTGGCAGGCCAGTTTAATAATCCACATTAGTAAAGACAAAACTGTTTTTTCATGGTAGTAGCTTACAGTCACCCAATTCAATTTAATTCAATTCAAAGATACGTTATTAATTCCAGAGGGAAATTAGAGTTTCAGTACACACAATTCTGAGATCAGACATACATACATAGGCATAGACACATGACAAGACTTGGTGACTGTGGTCATTCGCAACCCGAGTCGCGCTACCTTAATAGAGATCAGAGGGTTTACATGAGGATTGAGTCAGGTGGAGGAAAAAAAAGGCACTTCAGAGTTACCCTCCACAGGGAGGGCAGCTTTGCTATGCAAAAAACACCTCAGATGGAAATGCAACAGACTTCAGACATCACACAACATAAGTGTCCACTAGGTGGGGAGGTAGGGTAGAGGACTCTCCAAACAACAGTGCATGCAGCCACGATAAGCAGCGCATTCCACATTTCTTCTGAGGGGGAGTAATCGCTTGAGCCTCACAGGCTTAAGGGCACCAGATTCAGATAAGAACTTGTTTTGGGGTCAGACAGAGATAATTTCCTCTCTGCCTTGAAGTTCTGTTGGTCCTCAACCCCTCTAAACCCAATAATGGCGTAGTTAATCAATCCCAATCCGTGCTGTCCCGTCCACTCGCTCCTTGATCTAATCCACCTTCTGTTCCAGAGTCTGAATCTCAGCCAAAGTTCCAAGCTTACGACTCATCTCGACAATTATAGGAGTCTGTGCGTTCACAGCGTGGTGTAATCCATCCCTGAGCTCTGGGATTGAGCCAATATTCCTCGACAGCTCATTAATTTTCCGGTAAGCCAGGTAACCGTTCAGGCCAAAGAGCAAGAAACCTGACACCAACACCATGAATATCGAGACATCTTCAGAATCCTCTACAGACAGTTGGGAGAGGCAGATCAGGTTCCACTGTTTCCAGGAATCCATGATATACCCAACTGGCTCTGTCCCAGAGGGGCAACCGGGAGCCCCTTCTCCCGTTCTCATCGTTGAAAAAATGTTGTCAATCGCGTTGAGAGACCAACTGACCAGGTCCATTTTAATAATTTCCAGTTTCCAGAAAAAATTGCGGAAGCGCCGTCCACCCAAAGACAGACAGAGCTATGGGATAAGATAGGGAGGAGAGGAGGAAAAAAGTTTCTGTCCTCTCAAAGAGCCGGAAGAACAAGAAGAAAATACATAATGGTATTGGAAATACTCAATAGCATTGTCTGATTGTAATTCCTTTCTCACTTTGCCACAAGATTTACAGAGCAGGTTTTTTTTAATTGTCAGCTGATTTTCGAAGCACCAGATACCACACGGCAAAAACCACATACTACACACAAACTCTTTTCATAGACAAAGTAGGCATGTAAGAAAATACCAATACACTGAAACATATCAAGCTCTGGATCTCTGCATCTCCGAGTTTGCAGTCTCAGCTGATTTTGTTCACAAAAGCTAAACTGACTGCACACGAATAGGATAGTGGAGTAAAAGTTATTTGGCAACCTAAATTAATTTGAAAGTTTGAAAAAGCTATGACATGAGAAAATACCCTAAATGGTGAAAAAAATGCATCAAAAACAGTGGTAATCATGGTAATCGTTTAATGAACTAATCTTTAAAGGTGTGGTTTACTCATTTATTCAATACATTTGCAGGGTTCTCTAGTGTAAATCAATGCATTATAAGTAAGTTTAAATAAAGAAAGCCATGATGCTCCTGTTCTGAGATGGAGAAGTTTGCTTGTGCAGAGGTGGGCTGAAAACAGCAGGATTGCGCTTTATTATTAATGACATGCACACACCTCGCTTCTGATTGGCTATTAGAACACATTCAGCCATGTTGCAAAGTCACCATCACCAACACACTCTCTGCTTTCTGTCCTCGCTGCAATTTTTTTTAAAGCCTTCCCATGGGCGTGTGCAAGCCAAGATGGGCTGCAAATTCACTGTGTGACATCACAGTGCTAAGTTTTTCAAATCCTAGCATTTCACCATCTATTTTCCATTAGACGCTAAAGCCAGCTAAGCCATGCTTAGCCTTAAAGAAAAACTCGTCAGAAATAATCATTAAAAAAATTGCTTTTCAGTCAACCACACCTTTAAGTTTTATCGTTAACTAAATACGTTTCAACCAAGGCCCCAGGTCTGGATATGAAGCAAAACAGGAAGTGACAAAAATTGCAGTTCCACCCTCATTCGCTGGGGGCTGGTGTCAGAAGCGAGCAAATCCTCATCGACTCCCATGTTAAAAATACCATTTTCACAGCAGAAATAAACATGTTTACAGCCTGGTTCCAAAACATGTGTTAGGTTTAATAGATCTAGTTTACACTCATGACAACTCTGAGGGGGGTGAATTTTTTGTCCCTCTTCTGTTTAAGTGTATTAAATGCCTAAAATTCTGAATAATTTATGAGCATCAGACCCACGTGACCGCAGAGCTAGCTCCGGGGAAAGGCCTCAGTCTGAGCCTCGGTTTAAAACTGTTCCCCGATTTTCAGTCTCTCAACTTAGACCATTAGCTGTGCCGTTTGTGTATTCTTTTTGGGACATTATTTGTGCAATTGTTGGACAAAATGACTTGCTGTGGTATTAATTGCACTAATAGAGCGTCCAAGGAGTCTCCCTTTTTTTCGGTAAGTAAAATTATATTTATGCATTTTAGGTCACTGCCGCTCTTGCGCTAGCTGAGCTTAGATTTTTAACATGTACTGTTTAACCATTAAATTTAAATATAATGGGGTAAAACCCAGTGCATTTAACATAACGCTGCATTTTAGAAAATGGGTTGAAATATGACATGTTGGTGAAGCTGGATTCCGACTATCGGTATGGTCCCCTCCCCTCAGCGGCAGCTCGGCGCATCTCTGACTGCAGCAGCGCCTGTCTGCTGCGTGGATTGCTAGCTTGTGGAGCTCTCGGATGGAAACAGATATTTTCCACCCGGTTCTCCCCAGCGGTCAGCACGGCGCATCTCTGACTCAGAAGCTCTGGTGCTGTACACAATTAACTCTGGTTGTAGCTAGATAGCTACCTCCATTAGCTTAGCTCCCACCTCCGCGTTAGCTTTGGGTTAGCTTGTAGCTACATCGCTTCAGTTCAATGGGTGTCGTCATTTGATCCCAGCCTTACTGCCCCACCCTCAGCTCCACCTCTTCCCTTTTATGGAATTGTCTGCGCTTGACGGAACCTTTGACACGGTCAAAATGGCGGTGGTGGCCACCTCCCACTTTGGCACAAAGACTTATAATTGGAGCCTATGGGCAAGCATTGTCTAGTATATATGTCGATGGTCTCAACACAACCAATCCAATAGAGATATTAGCTTCTCCGCACTGTAATATCTTATTGTGCCTTCTTTGACCAGTTATCTTTCTTTGAGCCTTAGCTGAGATTTTTTTCAGTTTTGAGCAAAAGTGGTAGCGGTGATTAGCGGTGTAGTAGTGGTGAAATTATATGCCTTGCATTTTATAATGTAAATACTGGATCACAACAAATTTCTGGTAAATATCAGAATCTTGTTTAAATGCTTCCGTCAGCGAACCCCAGGACAGCTGTGGCTATAATGTAGCTCATCATCACCATTGTGTGCATGTGTGTGTAAATGGGTGGAGGACTGATTGTGTTGTGAAGCGCCTTGGGGGGTTGTAGAATCCAAAAAAAGGCACTATACAAATACAGACCATTTACCATTTAACAACTCCATAAAATAAAATAAGAATGCTTAGTATTTAAATCAAATGTCCAATGTGAGTAAAGTTTCAGAAAATATCAATTTTCCTTAAATGAAAACTGATATTTAAGAGTTTAGGTGGGTGCACCTTGAGCTGCAAATGTCTGCAAAGTCAGTGAGAGCTTCTGTAAACTTAGAGATGCATGTTAGTAACATTTTGTGCACAAAATATAATAATGCAATCCATGCAAAGCACAAAATTTCAGTCAACAATGCTCTAAATGTAACAGATTAGGATGCTTGATACAGCAACTCTGGAGATAATAAAGCAGTATTACCATAACTATGTAAAATATCATCATTCTGTGTTTAGATATAAAAATCCTAGAACTAAGGTTCTCTTAGGGGAGAATGAAGGTGACATTCAGTATTATTGTTGATTTTCTGTTCTTGTTTAAATTTCATCTATCATCAAACAAACAAGCCCAGAAACCTCCAGTGAGGCAGAGCGAGTACACCTTCAGACATGTGGCACCAAATAAAAACAAAACACAACACGGGGGTCATGCTTTAAACGCGGCGTTTTATCAGACGCAGCTTTTCATTCCATTTAAAATGTCTCCTCCTCGCAGGGCTATTGGGAAAAATAATCTCACAAGAGAAAGGATAAGGAATACTGCATTATTCTCCCCCTGTGGTTAAAAATGAGTGTGAAAAATCCAACCAACAAACACAATGAGAGAAACAAAGGATGCATTTTCCATTCTCACATTTTGTTCTTTCTTTTCTGATATTTTGTCACCGTGTCTTGCAAACTGCCAGGAGTGAAGATGGCACCAGAAAGAGAACAAGAGAGAAAAACAGAGAAAGAGAGAAGGTGAGATGGAAAAAAATACACTGCAAAAAGAGGACAAAATAACACAACACCAAATAAAACATTATACACAAACACAGTCATAAATACCCGTCCATTGTTCTGAATAACATTAAATCAACCCCTGCCTGCTCCGATGGAGCTGCTGTGTGTGATGTCTTCCTTTGAGGAGTGTGTGTTATTGCAGTCGGTGTTTACCTCCCTGGGTTCAGAGCGAACATAACCCTCAACCCCACTGTAGAGGGAGGCAGAAATCAAACACGAAAAACCAGCAGAGAGACAAAAGATCAGAGGCTGGAGGCTGAATTAAACCTTTTTGAGGAGCACTGGGGGAGCAGACGAAGAGCATGACTCATTCGGTACAAAAGAGGTCTGAAACGTATGTAGGGATGATTGGCAGCTTGCTCAGAGAAGAGGCAGGTCTCATTGTAATTTAGGTCTTTAGCTACACTGCAGTGCCAAAAATTCATTACAGGATCTAGTGAAGCAGACGGAATAGACATTTATGCAGCAGACAGTTTGACTTGTCACAGCATGAAAAGCGCAGTTGGAATTAATAACGTTAATGATGGCTCAGCTCCCTCTTATGTCTCAGTAAACTGTGAAAGCGAACCTACGAGGACCTAAAGTGAATCACGGCTGTCTTTAAACACACTTGTGCGTTTTTCGCCAATGACGATTCAGTACCTGTTGATTAAGTCATCGTTGTCATCGGTGTCCATCTCGTCCTCGATGGCCGCCTGTAGGTCCCCTATCCTTTTAAAAGCCAGCTTCAGGTCCACCTGTAAGCTCTGGTTTGCTGCCTCTAAACTCTCAATGTCCATTTCCTGGTGACAGAACAGGCCCAGAGAAGAACCATTGGTGTATAAGCCAATGTAAATACCAGTAGAGTCACCCAGCACCGGAAGCCTCACCAGCTCATGTTTCTTCCGGCTGGCCTCGGCCTCCTTTTTGGACAGTTCTGCCATCTCCTCCTTCATGTCTCTGGTCTGCCTCTGAATACGTTTATTCTGCTCCTTCTCCCGGTTTTCTGCAGCAATGTGTTGGTTTCTCTCCTCCGTCATCTTTTCTAGATTCTCCTTCAGACGACCCACCAGGCTCTGGGGAGAGGAGTCAGTGGGGCTGGTTCTTATGGCATTTATCAGTTTGTTTACTAGAAACTAACCATTTTACACACATTCACGATTACACTAAGTTAGGCAGAACATTTTACCCAAAGTATCCATAACAGAATCTAGGCTATAGGATCAAAAAACTCAGTTCGGATCACGGTTTTCAGTCTCGGATCGGATTATTTTTCAGATGGGCAGAAAGAAAAAAATAAATAGCTTACCTCTGTCTTTATTTTGTAGAACACTTAGTGCAACATTTTTCACTTTAATTTGCAACTTGCTTTAAAATAGGAATTACTGAGGTCCGAGCTGATTAATGTTAAAATGGCTTGCCCTATTGAGACCTGCCCACTCTCTGCGTGTCCTGCTTTCACTCATTTCTTCACCTTTCTGAAGGGCGGTTAATTTTCCTTTCCTCCTCTTGTCCCCATAAATATTAACAGGTCCCACCATGTTAATGTTATAATTGCCCCAGGCATTTTGTGCGTGCCACCCCCTCCCTCTTTTCACAGCAATCGTAGGTTGCGTGTGAGCGGCGCTGCACCGTCTGACTGTAGGTACTCATTTTTGCCATTTGTATCATCATTGTATTTCACAGGTTAGCCAAAACGATCCCAAACATGTGACTTAAATAATACAGGTGGTTTTTCAAGCTCCTCCCCCTCTCCGCCATGACCACTTTTCTCGTTTGGATTGAACGGGTGGAGCCTCTGTCCTACGCGTGATCGACACGCGAACCACGCAAGTGCAAACCGTAGAGGAATCAGTGCGGATTACTGATGATCCGATGCACACCTACGCTATAGCCATGACTTAGACAAACGTAGAAATAGCAAAAGATTAGGCTCTGCAGATCGGTCTAGTCACGCTCCATTGTAGCTTCAGCAGGTCAACCATTGGCTCGGCTAAGTGTAGGCCAGGCCAATCACTGCGCTCTGTGTTCGTAGAGAGACGCTAGGCAGGCTTAGCACCATTATGGCATTACTCTATTTTATTTACAAGGCTGGACATATACTTCACGTAACTCGTTGCTCCACCCTCTGTCTAATTGTGTGTGGAAGCACTTTAGAAGATAATCTGTCTACGGGCCGTGACCACACGCACAAAAGTTAAACAATACAAATCATTACATAAGAAAAGCATTTAATTAAGTTAGCAAATGCAGAGATATGTGAAGTGTTTTCTTAATTTAATTATTTTCTGCTGTGCAGCATCATAAAACCATCGCCCTGAAGTAAATACAGAGATGCATAATGTTGCTCGTTCAACTCCTATTCACAATTCCAATATCAGTGGGCAGGTGTCAATCTTTTTTTACCAGTTAGGATTCTAGTTTAGGACATTTTAGCGTTAACGGCTAAAGGTAAAAGAATAAAGTAAATTAATAAATGAGTGAAAATGACTTGATGTTCAGTTTATTCAACACGAAAGATGTTGCAGTAAAAATAAAACTCGTGGAATATTCATTTTAAATAGCTTGAAATTGTTTCTCACAATTTTCATAAATAAATCCGTTTTAAAAATGAAAGTGTAACCCAGAAGCTAGAACCTTAATGAGGTATTAACTAATTGGCTTACTAATATGATCCATCCTCAATTTAGATAAAATATAAAATATAAATTAAGGAAATTAACAATACTAATTAATAGATATCTAATTAACTAATAGATAATTTCATAATGAATTATTGGAAGGGTGAATAACTAAAATAACGAGTTTAATATTAAACATCGGTTAAAACAAGAATCTTGAACATCCCTAACAGAAACAGAAGAGGAAAGCTGTATACTATTGGTCCAGGTGGGAATCTGAAATTTCATTGGCTGAGAGAAATAAGTCCCGCCTCCGCGAAATAAAACCGTGCGACGCAGCTGAGCGAGAGGAGAGACAAACGGCTGTGCAGCACGCAGATACAGAAAGCAAAGACTGAGCGGTTAGAGAGAGAGAGAGAGAGAAAAAAAAACAACGGTCGAGGCCGTGAAGAACCCTGATTTGGGTGCCGCATAGATAGAGGGAGAGGCGGACTTGACTCCTTCTAATAAGAGCTAGGAACTTGGAACCAACGCGATTTGTGTGGAGACGACAGAGTGAACCAATCCTCTGTAGGAGGGAACCGTTGGAGCGCGTTGGCTGGGTTTTTTTTTTTTTCCTTGGGTTTGATCCCGACTCCTATGATCACTCACTTGGAACGAGAACTGGATTTCTTCCTGACGAGGGAGATGGCGAGCCTTAACCACTGAACGAACCAGGACATCTCAAGTAACTGAAGAGCAGACTGCTCTCTTCTGTGAACAATCTCAACGGTGCGGTAGGAAAAAATCGCACCACCGGACTCTGACTTTCACCCCAAGCGTGGGGATTTGACTTGACGCCGGCTGACTTGTGACTCATATGATCAAATCTCATACCGACCATTTTACTATTGTCGATTGTTTTCATCTGTTTTTGTGTGTTATCTTTATGTGTTATATTTCCCATTATTATTAAAATTTAGTATATAAACCGTTTCATGCTATACCCGTGACTCCAGTCATTCTTAAACAACCTCCAATTCTCCCCGAACCTAATTATTGGCCCATTTGTTTATTTTTTCTTTTAATTATCTTATTGTATCCTGTAATCCGGTTACATAAAACTTGGCGAGCCAGCCAGGAGAATTGTAGAGTTGTTACCTTAGCTAACCATTGACTGACATCATAAGAGTGCCTGGAGGTCACAGTGGTTTGCCATTTTGGCATTATTGGTACTTTTGAGTGTTTTAAAATGGAAGTTGTAAAAACAGAAAAGGTCAAGGTTTCAAATGCTGTTTTAATCAGTGGGTTAACTGATACAGACCTTGATAACGAAGTCTTTGGGTTTATGGAAGGATTCGGACCAGTTAACAGGCGCATTAATTTACCAAACTGTGATCAGATTATTGTGGAGTTTCAACATGAAGCCACTGTTAAGGAATTAAAGAAACAATGTTTACCCTATGACAAACCTTGTACTAGGAACCCAGATGTTTTCTTCCATATTCAAGACCTAGCCAGCGCGTACAGTCTAGAAACTAGCACATCTGCCACTGATGCCTATCTGTCAGAGCTCAGGGACATAGCTGCGCGTAGCAATCAATCATTTAAAGACCTTCTAATGGAGGAACTGGCAAAAATTGGGGAATCTTTAGGAAGGGATACCCATGCATCTGAACCAGTCACTGAACCAGAGCCAATGCTCCATAGTGACCAAGTTACATATTCCCTGCCTTTAACACCAGAAGTTAACTATATGAACAACTCAAAGGACAATTGTCCACCTACAGAGACTGGAAAACAAAACCCTTGCATTCCACCAAATCTTTTAAACACACCTGAGGTTCAGCGAGTTATTGTGGAACACATTGTTAAAAGCAGTGAGGTTATCCCTCCGCCTACTTCACAATACAGACTAAAACCGTTCTCAGGGCGAGTTCCACACCCTTCTTTTGAAACTGACTATGATACTTGGCGTAGTAGTGTAGTGTTATGCATAAATGATCCTTCACTCACCAAGTCCCAAATTGTACGAAGAATCGTGGAGAGTCTGTCAGCCCCAGCAGCGAGCATCGTTAAAGCTCTTAGTCCAAAATCCGACCCGGAAACGTACCTTGAACATCTCGATTCAGCTTACGCAGCTGTCGAAGACGGCGACGAGCTCTTTGCTCGCTTCTTAAACACAAACCAGGACAGTGGTGAAAAACCTTCCGATTACTTTCAGAGGTTATACACCTTGTTAAACCTAGTTATTCAGAGGAATGGAATTTCCTCCAGTGACGCCGACCAGCAGCTGCTCAAGCAGTTTTGCAGAGGCTGTTGGGACAGCTCGCTGATTTCAAACCTGCAACTCGAACAAAAGAAAGACAACCCGCCTCATTTTACAGCACTTCTCCTCAAACTGCGCACTGAAGAAGACAAACAGGCTACTAAAGCAGCACGCATGAAACAACACTTAGGGGCACAACGAACTAGAGTGTATTCAAATGTGCAAACAACATGCTCTCAGAGTAAAAACACTTGTGAACTGGAAATAGATGATAACTGTGATGACTTACGCAAACAAATCGCTGAGCTCAGGAGCCAAATTGCACAGCTTAAGGTTAACAACACAGATAAAAAGGCAAAGAAAACTCAAAAAGAGTCAAAACCCCGTGTGGGGACTAAAATTCCAGATGAGCCCAAACAGATTCAGCAGATAACAGCAGTGGTGCCTAGACCAAAGCCTGGATACTGTTTTAAGTGCGGAGAAGATGGGCACATAGCTTCTAGCTGTAGCAACGAGCCAAATCCAGCACTAGTTGCAACTAAAAGACTTGCTCTTAGACAGAAGCAGCGCGAGTGGGAGATGTCAAAGCCAATTGCTCAGTCTCCTCCTTTAAACCGGTAGAAGCTCCTATCGTGGGACAGATAGGTGCTAAAGTAGAACCAAGTCCCTCTAAGGAAAGGACAGAGAGACTTTTTTGCAAGCCAGTTCATGCTCATTCAGTGCCAAAACTTCCCAAAAGATTAGTGGGTGGGCGATGCACAGCTACAGTCTCAGTTAACAGTGTTGAATGTAATTGTTTACTGGATTCAGGGTCCCAGGTAACCACCATTGCCAATTCTTTTTACCAAGAACACTTACCTGACCTCTCAATTAAACCCATCAGTAATCTGTTAGAAGTCGAGGGCGCAAACGGTCAAGCAGTTCCTTATTTAGGATACATAGAGATAAGTGTCACATTTCCAAAAGAGCTCGATCAGTCTGGACTTGAGTTACCTACCCTTGCGTTAGTGGTTCCGGATATAAGCTCAAACTCTGATACACCACTACTCATTGGCACAAACACACTCGATCCTTTGTATGAGCAATTGTCTGCCAATAACTTACCTGATTCCAAGGCACTCTCTTATGGGTACCAACACGTGCTAAAAGCCTTAGCAGTCAGAAAAAAACAAAGCAAAGATGGACGAGTTGGTGTGGTGAAGCTTCG